ATCAACGCCATTTTATACACACAGAAGTTGAGAAAAAAAAAAAAGTAACTCGTTTGCGTCGACGTCAAATCAGCTCCGCGCATCACGAATTGTAAACAACATCTGTATAGAGTTCGAACCGTGTGGAGCTCACCACGATAGAGAAAACAAGATGAAAAAATCGAATCCATCTCATTACCAACGACATGTCTTTACTGAAAGAACCTCACGGGGCAAAAGAAAGTGCGGGGAACGTATTCTGCACAGCCGTGCAACTGGCTGGGTGGTTTGAGCAATCAGAGAAATCGACGGTGAACGACCCCACTTTTGATTCATTCCAAACCTTCGAGAAACATGCTTTCTGCTGCTGCGGACAAGAAAAAGCCAAACAGACCACGTTCACCCCCCGAGGGCATCAGCTCCAAAACCTTTTAGAGGGCTTACCAGAACCCGAAAGGTGGGGCGTTAGCCTTCAATGATTTGAAGCTGGTCAGATAACGAATACGAAGTAAATGGGAAAACAGAGATGAGGCGGAGGAGTGTGTGTGGTGTGTGTGTGTGGAGCAGATTAAAATAGCCCCAATTGCTTTTACAAAATAAATTAAAATTGAATGTGTTTAAATTGAATGTAAAGGGGTTTAAACGTTTTTGTGGCAGGTTGTGTGTGGGGAGAGAATAATAAGACAGCCCATATTAAAAAATTGTTTATTCTTTTCCCCCCGCATAATGTCGCATATTTCGCAACTTTCCGCATATTTCGCAACTTCCCGCAATTTCACCGCATAAAATCACATAAAACCCCCGCATGTTTAATCGCATAATCAAGGAATTTAGCCCGCATAAGCAAGGAATTTTGCCCGCGTTTTTCTGGAGGGTCTAAATATACGTACATCTGACAACAAAAAAAGAGTTATAAGATAAGACTTTATTCATCCCGAAGGAAATTGATGTGCCAGAATAACAAAAATCCAATAAACACAGCAGCATAATAGTGAAACTGTACACTAAGAGTTATATATATTTTGAACAGTTAAAGGGGGGGGTAGGTAATTCACTTCAGAAACACTTTTTGCTATATTCCATAACATCCCGATAGCAATGAATACATTAAATGCTTTGACAATAAAATCGGCCCGGCTAAAGTAACTGGATGGCCTACCTGCCTGTCAGCCTTCCATCTGTGCACAAACTTATCTCGTGCCCTCATTGGTCATGTGTGCGTTCGCGTGTGTTGGAGGAGGGGCTCTGTAAGGAAGTCTGAAGGAAGGGGCAGATTTTTTTCGGCTGCTTACTTTCAAATTCTAGCGCACTAGAGCTGGTTTCTCCATTCTTACCTACCCTACCTTTTAATGCTAAATAAGTGCTGTTGAAGTATTAAGTATTATTGTGTTACCCTGTCTTCAGGTTGTACAATGCAAATGATAACCCTTAGAACGCTGTGAGAATATTACTAGCTTGCAGCAAACACGCTATTGTCTAAGTCTTTAAATAGCACTGCACATCCTGATTCCTGTCACAGGATGAACATATAACTCAGAGTGGGACATTAGCTTATTCCATATGTCATTGACTCAATAGAGCGGTGTATGCATGAGTCCTAAAACCCTGAAAGTGAGTTAGCAAAATGTGATGAACGTGGTTATGATAAGAAGCCGGAAATAAGGTCTAGAAGCAATATATATTCCTACGACCAAAGATACATCAGTATATACCCGGCTCGTGAATGTACAAATTCAAATGTAGCTTCAATGTGTCATATTTAGTCACGTAAAATCTGCCTAAATAAACTACTAAACATCAGCATCCCAAACATTAGTTGCCTTCAGCTTAGTGCTGAGGATTTGTAGCCATGTGACCGTGATGTAGTTGATTTATAGCCTAACAATTGCTTTTTACTTCTCCCAATTGCATTTACGCTTGAAAAATCACAAAAGTGTTAACATGTGGAGATTACCATGCAATACAACACGTGTTAAGTATCATGCATGTGTGCTATACATTTGTTTTCTGCATTATATGGAAATCCAATGGGAAAATCCTTTTTCCTGTCACAACATGAACATATAACTCAGAGTGGGACATTAGCTTATTCCATATTTCATTGACTCAATCGAGCGGTGCATGAATGAGATGCTTTGTAGGAACAAATGAATGTAGTTACATTAAATATAGTTAGGTGGAAATAACTCACACTTGAATTTCTTCCACTCCACCTAACTATATTTAATGTAACTACATTCATTTGTTCCTACAAAGCATCTCATTCATGCACCGCTCGATTGAGTCAATGAAATATGGAATAAGCTAATNTTGTTTTTTTAAATTGCATTACAGAAAATAAAGAACTTTATCACAATATTCTAATTTTCTGAGACAGTCCTGTATATCAAAAATATGTGTTTTGCTCCAAATACAAACAGATCACCC